CTGAGTCTCGGTGCTGCCCTCCACCTGTGCCCCTCAGTGCTGTTAATGAGAGCAACTTTGGAGAGAGTGTCGCCCCTCTGTGGATGCCTACGCAGCCCCTGGCTGTCAGGTCGCCCACTGTCACACCCACAGCACCTGCAGGACAGATGGGGCAGGGACCCATTTTCTTGCCTCCATTCCAATAACAGGTGAAGCTTCACTGGCGAAGCTGCTTTGTCTTCCAGAGGGAAGGGCCCACCGCCACCCCGTGACAGCCCTCCACCCCTGCACAGTGGCCGGCCCAGGGAGGGCTGTGCTCGCGGAGGCTGGACTGTCTGGGAGGGCCCTCGGTTGCCATCTCCAGGGGTGTCCCGGCTCCTTGCTGCATGCGGACAGTGAGTTACGGCAGCCTGTTATCTTCAGCAGCAGGTGCGGGCACCCTGGGCCAGTCCTTCCTGCAGCGTGAAGCCAGGTAGTATTTACTGGCTCAAATGAATAAGGTAACTAGCCCTGTCACAGCACAGGGGATGCGTCTCTCACCCGAGGTTTCTTTTTTTTCCCTTCCTTCTTTCTTTCTTCATTATGTTTGTAATTTTGTTTTATTATTTCCCATTGGAAGGCTGTGAAATGAAAATGATGCAATCTACTGCTGTGAAATAATGTCGTGCTCGAGTCCTTTTCCAATAAGCCCGGAGGTTTGCACTGTGACGGCTTCATTAAATTAGCCGGCTCCATGGCAAATGGAAAAGTGCTTAGAGCTTTGGAGTTTGCTAATCCGAGTTGGGCTGCCAGAGACCACAGACCCCGAGAGAGAGCTGGGGAACTTGGCTTTGGATGGCGGGGCAGGGAGCAGGGAGAAGAGGCCCCCCCCCGCTGCTGCGTGGGGTGTCCCAGAGGCCACTCCATCTGCACAGCTGCGAGAGCTCTCATCCAGCCCTCAAACCTCACCCTCCTCTGCGCGCCAGATGCCGTCCCAGGTGCTAAGAGAATGGATGGGCCTGGGCAGGATGGTGGCTCAGCATGTGGAGTGGGGGTGGGGGTGGCAGGGCAAGACTTTACCGTGATTAAACCATGAACAGTGGACCACAGGTACAGGGTGAGCTTCTCTGGGAAGGCCAGCCAGGGCTCCTCTTGCCTGATGCCAGTCCACGTGCCTGAGATTCTTGCAGATGAAATACACAGCTTCCCACCCACCCTTCCATCTCGATCCTCCAGAGTTTACGAAATGAATTCTCTTTTGCTGGGCTCCACTGCAGTATTAAAGATTTCCATTACCAATAGTTCTTTCCAGTTAGCACTCTCAGTATTAAACTCTGTCATTATGAAGTAAAATATGTATGATCCCTAAATCTATGTGTATTATAACGAGATATTATTGTTATAAATTTGTCTTCTCGGTCCTTCATTTCTGCCTTTGCTGTCTTTTGAAAACTCTAATGTCTGATAACTGTAGCCAGCAGGTAATTAGGAAGTGGTACTAAAGAATTACAGGCTTATTCTCTCACTCATTCATAGAAATTTATTGAGTGTCTACAGTAAGACACGGTCCCACAGCCAGCGGGAAAGACAGTGGTGACAGCTAATTACAGCACTCAGGGATTTTGGTCTGTGCTAACACAGAAAGCCCTCTCCTCTATACACATATAAATATTGGATAAAACATCACAGCTGAGTTTGAACAGAAAAAGGGAGAAATTCCAGATTCCAAAGGCAAGTGGGAATTCAAATTCAGAGTGGCGAATGCGAGTTGAAGGGGAACTGAAGCCAGGGCTGGGGCTTTCATACTCTAGCAGAAGGCAGATGTGATAGCCACTGCCTCATGGGTGGCAGAGCCCAGAGAGGGGCCCTCCTCTGGCTGGGTGCTTGGAGGGGCCAGACAAACCCATCTGCCAGCTGGGCGAGTGCTGATGGCATGGAGCAGGACTAACGTTTTGGGTAGAAAAAAAGACAACCTACAAAAGATCAGAATCCAAGCTTGTGCCAAGTAATAGACGTGGGGCCAAATTCTCATCACTCACTGTGAAATAATTGGACCAACAGAGCACAGTTTTGTTTGAAATCAATGAAAATCAACAGGACCCCAGCAGAGACAAATGTAAACCTTCCCCAAGGCCTGTCTCCACCCCCAGGGTACCTGGGAGGCTTCGAGGAAAAAGCGTCCGCTGAAGATGAGCTCACAGGGAACAATTACAAAGCACATAAGGAAACAGGCTGCCACGACAGTGCATCTCAGATCCAACATGGCACGAGGATCAGCTGCCCATGTTGAGCTAGGATTTGCCTGAAAACTCTCATTTCTCCCCACCCACTCTACACCATCATGCCTCCAACTCTAATCCAGAGAATGCCTGAAGCCCCCCCCCGTCTCTTTTCCTCCTAGTTCATGAGAATATACACATATATGTAAATTTGTAAATTCCTTTTCATTTAATATGGATCTCACACCAATAAAATACTCAGATACCCATATTGTTCACATCAGTTCCCACTAGCCAGATGTAATGCTGAGTGAGGGGGTTTCTGCCACACCTGGCCGACCTCCTCACCTGGCAGTGAGGTGAGACTGTTCTAGGGTGGTGATCTCCAAGCATGGTTTGGAGTCTAAATCATGTGAACCCTTAAGATCCCCAGAGTACAGGTGTTTTTTTTATTCTCATAGGCTGATGTTATCTGAAAAACTTTCACCTTCACTCACAGCTATTCCAGGTTACTAAAACTTGGCATTCAAATTCAATGTTTACAGTTGACTGAGGACTCTAATTCAACATCCACCAAAAGACCTGACAGCCAGGCAAAGCCTGGCCACTGTTATTCTGTGCTGCATGCGTGCAGGCCACAGGCTCCTGGGGACTAAAGCAGGTCACTGTCTTATCAGGTTATTGCTGGATTTGTCTTGAATTGGTGGAGCTTTGCAACTGCTGCTATGCTTGCTTTCAGATCAACTACTGTTGTTTTGGCTGCATCACCATCAGGTTGGTGGATCGAGCATTCTAGTAACTCTATGTAGTTGTAGTGATTCCTGTGTGCATCATCAGAGTTTTTAACTTCATTTTCCACTGAGGAGGCCTTCGGATGCACACCCTGCAGCTCGCATGTGAGCCATCTGTATCTCCATTAGCTCGTGACCCTCCGTATCCTTCAGGGTGACTCTTCATGATTATCCCACGGTCTTTTCCTGGTAAGAGGGGCATCAGCAGGACAGCTGGGCCACATCTAAAGGCTTTGAGATAAGGAATCTTTCCTCTGTCCCCATTCTCTTGGATGTTTGAGAGAGACCTAAGACCACCTGCATTCTGTGTCTTTATAGGGGTAGCAAAATGTAAGTCAAGTCACTTTGCCTGGGAGAAGGAACAGCTTCTCAATCATCCATTTAGGAAAGCGTCCACTGAGAGGCAGAGGTGCCCAGCCTGCTGCTGGGGGTAAAGAAAGGCCAGAGATGTCTTCATTGCCACCAGGGGACTCGAGGACAGGCACATACACTGAGGGCAGCAAGTAGACAGATGAGGACTGTTCCAGGGTCTCTCGCATTTACTCTCATACAGTTCCTGCTTCACTACTGGGGGAAGGTTCTCGTTCTCTGCAGGGCTGGTTTAAACTCTGTAGACACATAGCGTAGAAGCCACCAGAATGTCTTCTGTAGACAGCTTTATCTAGCCATGGCCTGCCTGCTTTAGCCCAGCATGGAATGAAATGGCTCCAACAAAACAGCCAAGTCCTGTCTCCGGCAGGCAAGGGGAGAAGTGCACAAACACACGAATGCAGCCACCAGAGAATGTCGTGTCTGTACACACTCAGCTCTTCACTCTCCAAGTCTAGCGCAGTCTGCCGTAGTGGATTTTATAGTGATGAGCTTGGCCAAATTCCCATCCCTGAAGGGCTTTCTGGATGAAGGGGAGATGGATGCCTGCTTGGAATATAATAGTTGCTGTGGCAAGTGGATTCTAGCCTGGCTCCCAACAATTGCCACCTCCTGCCTTTAGTTCTCTTGTGCCCTCCTCTTCCCTTAGAGTCTAGGGTGGACCTGATGACTTGCTTCTCTCAAACAGATGTTAAAACTGAGGGGAGGCAACTTTTGAGATGAGGTTGTGAAAGGCTGTGATTTCAGGCGTCTTGCTGGGCTCTCGCCTTCTTGGCTTGCTTGCCTGGATGAACGAGCTGCACAGTGAGACGCCCACATGGTGAGGAGCCGAGCGCGGCCTTTGGCCTGCCAGGAACAGAGTCCTGCCAGCCACCCCGAGTGGGTGTGACACATAGCCTGCCCCAGCTGACCCTTGAGAAGACTGTGGCCCCGGCCAGCACCCTGCTGTAGCCTTGTGAGACAGCCTGAAGCAGAGGCCCCGTGGAGCTGTGTCTGGATTCTTGACCCACAGAAAAGGGGAGGCAATAAATACGTGTTGCTTTAAGCTGCTCAGTCTCAGGGTAATTTGTTGTGCAGCAGTGGGTAACAAAGACACTTACTCGTCAACACGTGTAAACTGACCTGGGCAGAATGTATGGGCATATTTTGGGAACCTGAATGCAATATGAATTGGTTCTTCTCTTAAACCCTAGTGAGTAAGATGGACAGCCACTGTCACCAGTTGCCAGAGCACATTGGGTGTTTCTTGGAGTAAGAAACTCTGAGGCTAATGGCCAGACCACAAAGGGTTTGTAACCAAGGAGGGCATCATAATCCTCGGAGACACCTGTCCCCCATGCTGGACCTACCACACCAGGATCTCCGCAGGGGAACCCAGGGCCTCTGAATTAGAGACGGTGTCCCCGAATGTGGCAGATATGTGTCATCAGCAAAAGCCACTGATCTGGCCCTACACCTCCCTCTGACATAACAGGAAATGCTGGGACAAAGAAGTCACACGTCTTGCTAAGATCACATGGCTGGTTGGTGGCCAAGGACAAGGGCACAGGCCTCCCATGCCCCTGCCATCTTTGTCCACTCTGCCACAAGACACCCCATCCAGTGGAGGACTCAGCTTAGCCCTGAGTCCATGTAAGCAGAATCAGCGTATGAGACCCAGAGACAACTTCTAAGGTTATCTTTATTTGTTTTGGAAAAAACCCTCTTTCTTCATCTGTTCAGTCCTGGCCTGGTGACAAGGAGGGCTTTTCTCTCTTGCTGCCACAGTGCCTCCTTTGCAAGACAGAGAACAACGCACGCTTCCCTCAGATCTGTCTCCAGCCGCCGCTCGGGAAGACCCGGCCAGCGCTGGAGCTTGACGGCACTGGGGACACGTAGGAATTGTCTCTGAGCCCCACTGCCCTGCGATCGTTTCCTCCCTGAGACAGCTGCCCTGTGCTGGGGGGCTCTGCCTCCACCTCCCAGTCCAGGGTGTCTGCAGTCGTCGTGGCAGCTCCGGTCTGTTCTGGTCCAGAGAAGCGCCACGCGAGGGCCACGCTGTGTCTGGCAACGGTCCTCAAGAGCTCACTATGTCCCAGTGCTGGCTCATGAGCGAGGACTCACACAGGTTGATGACGACTTCCCTGCCGTTCTCAGTGCCGTCACCAAACATGTCGGTGTCTAGGCAGAGGTGGGACGCTATGTGCTCGATGCGGGAACCGGTCTTGGTCCATTGCTGTGAGGACAGAGAGGAGCGAGGATGAGCCGGGTTTCCCTGGCCACAGCCCCGGGGCCCGTCGAACCCTCCCGAGTTCTGGAGACCCCAGAGAGGTTGATGCCGCTTGTCTGCGGTCACCGCGAGACTTGATTTCACGGTCCCGTGGAGCACTAAAACCGCAAATAATTGTTCTGCCAGGTGTTGTTGTTGGGGTTTTTTTTGTTTAATTGGATAAAAAAGTTAAAAGCAAAATCAATATGTTTACTAGGGAAGCTCATTAGGAGGCAATAACTTCCCAAGCAATAGGCCAGAAAACCTGAAGTGAGTTAGTCACAGGAGCGACCACAGAAACGATCCACACTCGGTATCTGCGCGGTCACGAGGACGCAGGAAGAGCTGGGGGCAGTGGCAGCAGCGAGGCAGGGAGGGCCATGCCGAGGTCCCCCACACTCCACCCGGCGTGCCGAGGCGGGAGGGGCTGGACGCATCTCGGGCAAGACCCTGAGCTCCGTACTGAGTGGAGACCCTCTCAGCTGCCCTGCAGAGTGAGTATCACCAACCCCCTTTCACAGAGGAGGAAACGGAAGCTCAGAGAGGTCTAGTAACCCACCATGAGTCACACAGCCAATGGGAATCTTGGTCTCTCTCATGCCAGTACCCAGTGGGCAGCCACCACTTTGCTGCTAGAGGAACTGGGCACCCGGTGCATCCAGGACACTAGGAGCTTTGGTGGACACACTGCCAGAGCCCAAGGCTTTGAAAGCAAAGGGTCGAGTCTCGCTCACCCTTGTGGCTTGGAGACTTTTGTCTGCTGTCCCAGGTGGGGGGCAGAGCAATGACAGGACAGCACAAATAAAATGGGCATGGTATGGTCAGCGAGGGTCAACGGGCTTTCACGTGGCCAGCTGTCCTGCAGGAGTAGACCCTGCCATTGCTTCTGGTACCAGAGGGTGTTTCTCTCTCCCTCTCCTAACACAAGGACCTCTTTCTTATCACCTTTCTTCCTATAACAGTTTTTGTCTTGTCTCATGTGGGAAACATGCAGGAAACAGGCCCACACAGGCAGTCACGTTATGAAAGGTGGCCACGCCCCAGGAGCCCCCTGAGCACTTACCTGTTTAGCATCTCCGTTCTTGCAAAGGGCAAGAACTACAGGAGCACCAGGAAACAAAGTGACAACCGACATGCACAGCTCATCCTGGAGGATCTGCTGGGTGTATGTGAAGGCCCACACCTGGGGAGCAAGAGGCCAGGAAGGTCTGCTCAGGATCTAAGAAGTGGCATCGGACCGTGCGTGCATGTGATGATTAGTACAGCTTGGTAAGAAGTCCTGGGGTCCTAGCAGGCACTGGCCACCCACAAGGCCACCTTGGAAAATGCTACTCAACTGCCAGAGACTTGGAGGTCACAGCCCCCTGGAGGGGCCTGGGCCATGCCAGCTGCCCCTGGGAGTTGTTGAACAATTTTAGGCTTTGGGCAGGAGCCTGAACAACATCCCGGCTGAGTCGTGTGGTCCAGTTTCTGTGTTCAGAGGGAATGTCTGGAGGGGAGTCTGTTCCCCACCTGGAAGGTCACCCCTCCCCACCAGCTGTCTTTAGAATGTGCCCTCTTCTTTCAAAGGAAGTCCAAGTCAGTGTCTTGAGCACATGAGAGTTATGACAAGAGGCAGATGGAGGGACAAAGGGAGCCAGGACGGGCTCTGGGGCAGGAGATGAGGAGCTGAGGGAAGAAAGTTATGAGAAATCACATGATTGCAGGAGGTGCGTGTGCTGGAGCATGCTGGTGTAATAAGTCATTTGGCCCCTGAACTCCTGCTGGGAGAGAAGCCGAGAAGACTGACAAGCAGAGCTCTGATGGCACAAGGAAAGGGTGCATTTGTGTGGTTCATTAGGAGGGATGATCCCAACATATTTCCTCCAAAGTGCCAGAGATCAGAGTAACGGTGGTTTATGAAGCCACCAGCACTCCTGGGTTCTTTAGCCGGAGGGCAGAAAATGCTGGCATAATGGCTGTCAAAATGTGAATGTGGACAAGAGGTTTTTCCCCAGCTTGTACAATGGGGATCACATCTGCCCTTTGCCTCTGGCAGGGGCAATGAAGATGATTCCCGAATTGGACACCCCCCCAGCCGAGGGAAGCTGCAAGACGCTGCGAAGGCACCTGTTCTCCCCGACATCCCTGCCAACCTGCTGTCCTCAGCGTCCGAACCAAGCCATGCACTGGCTACTTCTCCTTGGCCTAAGCACACGAAAGGCCCCTGAACAGGTCAAGCCCCTGCAGACATGGCGGCCATCACCTCCCGGTCTGCACCTTCCCTGCCTGCCTCCTGCCAGCCCCGTCCTGGTCCCACCTGGGTCATCTCCTGACCACCAGAGTCCACTGAACATCTTTAATGGCTTTCTGGGACCTGGCTGGTTCCTCCTCCTCTGCCACAGGTCCGAGCCCTTCTGCCATCCCTACCGTACAGCGCACCTTCACCCTGAGCTGACCTGACTTGCTGGACAGTGACTGCGTTCTCTCCTAATCTGGGGCCTTCCCCTGTCCCCTCATTCCTGCATGAGGTCACCAGCCCAGTGGGAAGATGGCTCCTGCCTAAGGATTCTTTTGTCCCTTTCGAACTGCTGGTGTTGGGAGAAGACCTAGACTAAAATAATTCTCTCTGGGGAGAGATGGCAATATAGATGGAACAAGACTGCTCGTGAGCTGGTGATTCTTGCAGCCTGGCAATGGGAACATGGGGGTTCTTTATGCTATTCGACTTCTGTAGCCACATATATATTTGAAATTATCTATGATAAAAAGTCATGGAATATATTCTCTCGGACCTATCAAACAGTTCTTCTCTGACCTTGTAAACGTCACCGTTCTATACGTCCCACTTGCCTTACTCCAGAATAAGCCGAAAGGGGCAAGAGGTCTGTCTGCACAGGGGTGACACACTAACCATGCTGCTACCGCTAATTCCGAATGGATAACATTTATTAAGTGCGTATGGTGTCCCAGACGCTGTCCTAGCAACTTTACACGGATTAATTTCATGAGAATCCTATTAAGTAGGTATTACTAATATCTCCATTTTACAGATAATGAAACCAAGGCTCAGAGAGGTTGTCATATACTAGCAAGTGGCCCCCAACCAACTCTCTCCAACAGCTCTGCTCTTGCTGATGCTGGCAGAGGCAGAGCTGGCTCCAGGCTCTTCTAGACAAGTTTAATTATGGGGGAAGACACCTGCCCCTGAGGTTCCTCTTCTAGGTTGTAAATACTAAAACCATAGACCAGCTGCACCTTGACAGGAGAGAGTGGCAAGAGATGCTTCTTTGTGGCCACGTTCCAATGATGACCTTTATGAAAAGACAAACAAAGATCATACCCCATGGCAGGGCCTGGCGTGGGGCAGGCCAGAGAGTAGACCCTCCCTGACATGTATGGGAACAGGGCAGGAATAGGGATGGAGGCCACACTCTCGATGCCACACCAGCCCCCTCCCTCCCCACCCTGGCCGGGCACAAGCTGGGTCACTCCCCTCTAAACAGTGCCCTTGGGACCTAGTGGAGTGTACTAGGGACACAGTCCAGGCTCAGAGGACAAACCCCGGGATGAGACCCATGCAGGTCCTGGAGTCAGGCTGGGCCATTTGGGTAGGGGATTCTGGGGTTCTACATATCTGGAATGTGATCTAGAAGGTGGGCCCAGAATATTCCTTGACCTGTGGGGAGGAGAGAGAAGGGCCCAAGGGTTGGTCTTAGGGCTAGGCTGCCAGGAAGACACTTGCCTTGAGGTCACTGACCTCATTTAGATTCTTGCCATTCTCTGGAAATGAGACTAAACAGATAGTCAGGATATGGAAAGAAGATGAGGTTCATTCCTGTGTCCCATTACTTGACTCTATAGCCTGCAGGGAACCACGAATTAGCATTTCAAAATGATCTGATCACCATAATACAATGGCATTGTATTCTCTATGTTAAAAGCATTAAGTGATTAAACATAAAAGCTTAAATAAACTGCTGTTTTGAAAGCCCACTCTGGCATTTCTTCCTTTTTAATATCCTAGGTGTCTCCAAACCGGAAGTAATGGGGATGGGGGGTTCTTTTGACATCTGAGACACCCTGCCCACCAATGCCTTTGAGGAGGGAACATGTGGGCTTGTGGCACACCCCAGGCCGGGCCAGAAGGAACCACCTCCAAGACCCCACAGGGAGAGTGTGAACAGGCACAGAGAGCCGAAGCCCTCACACTCAGTGGACTTTCCATTAGCTGGTGCTTTCGCTGTATTTATATGATTTAGCTTCAGGATTCCCAGAGGAGGGCTGATCTCTAGCTGTCTGCAAGAGGAGAGGAGAGAAGGCAAGCAAGGAGAGGTTTTCCGGCTCTCATTCTGCAGCCTGCGCCTGCCAGACTTCCCGGAATGGCCCATGATGAGTGGGCTTGTTGCAAGAATCCTGGAGTCAGTAAGGACCCCGGGAAGGTAGCAGCGCCTGCTCAGGAGGCTCGATCCCTGAGTGCTCATCAGTGAGTGCCCACCCTCTGCTGATGGCTCCATGGGGGGACTGGCAAAGGCACAGCCCTCCGTGGTGATGGAAGTCCCTCCCCGCCCCCCTGCTGAGCCACGCAGGGGAAACCACAGGCTGCTGAGAGGGTGGTGTGGGTGGCCTCGGGCTCTGCTGGGACAGGCGGCCAGGGGCTGCCGAGGAGGATGAGGAGGACAGTCCCCAATTAATGGGATGGGGAGTGTCCAGGCTGAGACGCCTTAAGCCGTTCTGTGCGTAGAGGCCGTCTCTGGAGACAGTCACTGGGGGGGAGCAGGCAGTGGCCAGCAGCAGGGGCAGTGGTTTCTCTGTGCAAAGCCAGGAGCAGACTGGGGCTGACTGTGAACTTGGGCCCTCCTGGTGACAGGGAACCTGAGCTAAGAGCATCCAGGGCCTTGACCAACCTCTTATGCCACCGTGGGCAACTCAGCAGCCCATGGAACATGCCCTTGAAACTCTTTCTTCAAACGAGGTGTCTGGAATGAAGGAGCCTGAGCTCAACTGAACCTTTAAGTTGGCCGGCCTCGTGCTCCACGTGGCCCTCTGAGGGGTCCGCTGTAGGGGCTGGCGCTGCTGCGCCAGCTGCTCAGACACCAGCCTCAGCCCCTCCCCCGAGGACCCCCTCTCACGGGAGGCGGCAGGGTGACCTGGCAGGCTCCCAGACACGCTCTTCCTCCCTACAGGACCATCCACGGACCCGATCTTGGGGTCTTTTCTTAATTTCAGCCCATCCTATCCTTTCCTCCCACATTGCAAGAATTCACTTTTATGTGTGATTAAAAACCCACCCATGTGTCTTGGGTCACGTTGCTGGGCTCTGGGGCGATTGCGGGGCTGGAATCCCTGCTTGCCTGCTTATTGACCTTGTGACCTTGGGTGAGTTGCTCACTCTCTGCACCTTAATTCCCTCCAATGCAAAATGAAGATAATATCCCATCCCCACCCTCTGCAGGGGTCACTGTAAGGAATAATCAGGTTAACACGTATTCGTGCCCAGAGCAGCACTTTCCATTAGCAAATGCTCAGTTACCACCTGCTGTGCTGAGGACGGTGATGGAGGCGCCAACAGGAAGGGAGCCGCCCCACAGACCTGCCTTTGGAAACTGCCCAGGAGCTCTGCCGGGGGAGGCCGCCCCAAGGCTGTGCTGACGAAGCGCAGAAGCCCACTGGCAGACTCAGGCTCACGCGCCTGGAGGTGCCAACTCGAGTCTAGGTTTGGGGAAGAGCTCTATCCTCACCTCGCCCACCCGGGGTACCCAGCTGCCTGTGCGCATGCTCCCCAGCCAGTAGCCCAAATTGCTGGGAGATAGGTAGGAGGACACATTAAAAATATTTTAATTTATATTCCCCCCTCTCTCTTTAAATTGGGATGGAAACCAGACTGGTGCACCTGTCTTCTTTCTACCTTTCACAAATGTTTTTCTAGAGCATCCAGTAAAGTTACGAAGAAACTTGTTAACCTGGAGACTCCTTAAGCTTCACGTGTTTACAAATGGATGATGCATTTGTCTCGTATTTCACCTGGGGCATCCGTTTGCTGACATCTCCCACACACTCAGATTAAACATTCAGCTCCCGAGGTTGACGAGCCAGCTGAGAGAAGGAGGAAAGGCAGGGAGAGGGATGGATGGGCTGGGGGTGTAACAGAGATGTGAGCCAGTGCCAGAGCTGGAGGAGAAACAGTCTCCTTTCAACATGAGGACACCCCGTGCCTGGGGCTCAGCCTGCCTGCAGAGAGAGGCCAGCTGGAACCAGAGCGCAGAGCTCCCAGTCCCCACCCTCTGGTGCCGTTACGCCATAGTCTAGGACCCCAGAATCCCCCCAAATGGCCCAGTCTGACTCCAGGACTTGCATGGGTCTCGTCCCAGGATTTGTCCTCTGAGCGTGGACTGTGCCCCTAGTACACTTCACTAGGGACAAGGGGGACCGTTCAGAGGGGAGTGACCCAGCTTGTGCACGAAGGCCAGGGTGGGGAGGGAGGGGGCTGGTGTGGCATCGGGAGTGTGGGCTCCATCCCTACTCCTGCCCCATGTCCATACATGTCAGGGAGGGTCTACTCCCAGGCCCTGCCATGGGGTATGATCTTTGTTTGTCTTTTCATAAAGGTCATCATTGGAACGTGGCCACAAAGAAGCATCTCTTGCCACTCTCTCCTGTCAAGGTGCAGCTGGTCTATGGTTTTAGTATTTACAACCTAGAAGAGGAACCTCAGGGACAGGTGTCCTCCCCCATGATAAAACTTGTCTAGAAGAGCCTGGAGCCAGCTCTGCCTCTGCCAGCATCGGCAAGAGCAGAGCCATGGCACGCAGCCAGATTTTCCAATCGTCTTTGTCACTTGCTAGTGTAGGACCCTGGATAACTTCTCTGAGCACTGGTGTCCTCGTCTGTAAAATGGGGATAATAGTGGTACCTACTTAAATAGGTGCTTATGACACTTCTCTGATTCGGCCTCCCACAGATAGAAGAGGTGGGGGCAGGGAGGGCTGAACGCGTCATGTTTAGGGGCTGGAGGGGCAGACGTGACTCCCGGACAGGCCACGAGGCAGGACGAGCGGGAGGACGCAGGTGCGAGCGGCGCAGGGGCAGAGTGGGGGTCAGAGGCGAGAACCCACCAACGCACAACATTAGCAGAAGGGGCTGGGAAGTGTAAGGACAGACCAGTCGTTTATGTAGGAAGGAGGAGAGGACCCTGAAAGGAAGAGAAGGGTCCCATCAGTCAGTCGATGACAGTGTATCCCTCTCTCTCTCTGTCTTTCAATCCGTCTCACGGATGATTTTAGCTGACGTGGCTATCTGTGTTGCTATCAGTCCAAGGCGGGACTAACACCTTCAGACACTTGGAAACACGCAGAGAGCTGCCGCTGGGCCCCGGGCGCCTGGAGAGCGGGGCGGAGGCTGCCCCAGCAGGCCCCACGGCACCCCCAGGCCTCCCAGAGATAGAGGAGGTGGGGCAGGGGGCCCAGGGGGCGGGTGCGTCTCTCAAGTGGGCTGAACACCTTCCTCTCTCAGAGTGTGCTTCCAGTCTCCCAAATTCACGCTGGTGCTACACGAACCCAGCTGTTCTCCGCAGAGAGCAGCGGCAGCTTAGCACCGTCTTCTGGAAAAGGACGCTCTGCTCACGTACAGCAGGTTCCCATCACGGCCCTGCGCTGCCCACAGCTGGCTGCTGCCTCCTCCTTTTGTCCCACCACGAGAGTGTCAGCTGGGATGGGTGGGCACTGCCACTCTCCCGTCCAAGCTTCATCAGCCTGGCCACCTCCCCTCAGGTCCAGGGCATCGCAAGACCCTCTCTGAGCCCACAGAGCCCAGGGCTCCTTTCCTCCCACTGCTTTGTGCAGCCCAAGACGTGGAGTACCAGAAACGCCCCGGCTTTGCTGGAGATGGTCCAAGTAAACTCCTGCCCCGGGAAAAGGGGAAGACAACACGCCGGCCGCTGGGATGCCCGGGAGCACTGCCCACTCACAGTCAGAAGACAGGGATGTGAGTCGCCTACTCACAAGGCTTCACAAAATGCCACTTGAGCAGATTATGCCACTCTCAGCCCGGAGGCCACGCCAAAAGTGAAATCAACACCTCGGTTTCCTTTCGCTTTTCCTGTCTGACTCAGGCAGCTGCCTCCCCTGTCCTGCTGGAGCAGAGAGATGGTTCCTGGAAAAGTCACAGCAAGCTGGAGCCAGGTTGTGACACGTCTCCAGTGTCAGGCCTGGGAGCCTGGCTTTTGTGGTAGACAATAGGGAGCCATCGAAGGCTGTGTTGGGATGGGGAGCCCTGGGTGAGTGACCACATGCAAGAAGGGGGCTGAGGGGTAGGAGAAGCAAGTGGAGGGTGTCACCTTAATCTAACCCAATGGCTCCCTACCCCGTGGCTTTTTCCCCCTCGGGGGAATCTGGTTCTGCCTAGAGGCAATTTTGGTGGTCAAGACGCGTGGGTGGGAGGTGCTCCTGGCAACCGTGGGCAGAGGCCAGGGACGCTGCTAGACAGCCTTCAACCCGCAGGACATCCCCCACAGCAAAGAACCAGCCAGCTCAAATGTCAGCAGTGCCGAGGCTGAGGAATGCTGATCTCTCAAGCGAATACAGGGTCTAAGAACAGAGATTCTGAGGGACGACATGATGGGGCTCGCAGAGACAGCAGGTGCAGCAGAAAGAGGAGCCTCGGGGGCTGGACGGGACCTCAACCACGGCCCATGGAGGAGGTGGCCACGTGGAGGAAAGTAGTGGGTGGGGGGCGGCCCGGGTGCCTAACAGGTGAATGACAGACGAGTGTGATGTGGCTGTGGACTCACTTAACCGCCCAGCATTGACACAGAGCCCAGGTGGGAGACAGAGTCCAGCCTGCAGCTCTGTGATCCCGGAGCTTCTCCTGGGACCTCACAGCATCCTGCTCCTGAGCACAAGGCTCGCCTCCCCAGCACAGGAAGAGAGACCATGCCTGGGCTCCTTCCTCCTGCCCAGCCTCGCGGTCCCTGCTCCCTCCCCCACACCACGCACTCTGACCCCAACCTCCCGCAGCCCTTGAGAGGTCTCGTCCTCATGAGCATCCTGGCTCCACTCCAGGCTTGGCGCAGGCTGCATGCCCTGGGCCCTTTCTCTCCTTCCCGACCTGGCCTGTTCCCACTCATCTCTGAGGATGCAGCTCCTTTCCAAGTCGTCTGGGCAGACGTCCCTGATCCCCACACTGCCTTGGATGTCATCTCTCAGTGCTCCTATGGCACCTGGACCAAACTCCACCCAGGACAGAGGTTATGGCACGGTGGCTGAGGACTCAGTTATTTCTGCGTGGCACCCCTTGAGGCCCGGAACCTAGCCTTTCATCTTTGTAACTTAGCAGGTTAGTGTTTGTTGAACGAATGAGTGAATGCATGAATCGTGGATGGATGAAGACACAGAATTTGTGAATCAATAAACAGAAGAGACTGTCAGAGCTGAAAGCATGGATAAAATCTCCAGAAACAGTTTTCAGAGAGATGAAGAGTGAACTGAGACCCCCGGTGAATAAGGGGGTGAGAAAGGGGGCAGGAGCGAGCAGAGTGTGTAGGAAAGAGCAGGCGTGTAGGAGGACAGGGATCTCTCGGAGCCACGGGAGGCAGGAGGGGTGTTACACAACGGATGGATGTACTTTAATGAGTTCAGCAGGCCAAGTGCTACAGAGACAGGCTGTGAATTTGTCAGTGACCTTTAAAAGAGCAGCTCTGCCCTCCAATGGGAGAACACTGTCCCAAAAGACACGTGGTCCTGCGCACTTGGGGGAAGCAGGAGGTATGGAGGGGGAGCCACGATAAAAGGGTACGTGGCCAAGAGACGAGGTGGCAGATCGTGGAAGTTTCACCAAATCTGATGTGACTCCCTGCCAGTCAGAGCCAAATCAGCTGGGAGACCCTCAGAGCAGGCACTGTGTCCAAGAGGAGGTGGCACCCAGCACAGGCTTTTCCCTTTGCATGTCACATGTCCTTTGGGAGGAGCTGTGCCACTGGCCCTGCCTGACCCAGCCCATGTTTACTGCCAGCAGGTAGGACGCCAGTGAAGAAAAGACTCATTAAGCTCCTACTAATTCAGCAAGTAGTTTCCTACAGCACAATGCCGCCTGTGAAGCCATCTTTCATAGGAATGCCGTGTGTTTGGAAAGCGAGTGGCGCATAAGCATAGGGGCAGAGAGGGACTCATACTCTCAGGCTCTCTGCTGCTGGACTCTGGGAATAGATGGCACCTGACGTCAGGGAAGAGCAGGTGACAGAGGCTGAGTAAGCTGGCCGCACGCGCCCCTCCTCAGTGGCACTCAGTCCCGTAGCCCCAGCCAGTTTCTTTACCTGGGACTTTGCTTCCTTGCCTTTGGACTTGACACAGGGGCTCAGTCTTAGGTTTGGGATGTCTTGGTTGTTCTGCTTTTGAGATTCCAGGCACTTCTGCCTCTGTCGGATATTGCCCTTCTGGATGGAGGAATCCATGGGGACTCTGGGGGGAAAGCCACAGGAGAGAGGAGAAGCCGCTGCTCTTTGGATGGGACGTAGCTGGAGAGGTTGGGTAGTGCTGTGACAATGGCAGGACCCTCTCGCCCAGGGCTGTCCCAAGGATTTGCACTGCTCAGAGAAGGGGAGGATGCCACTAGGAATGAGGGGCAATGGGGGACTCAGGAGCCACAGGGGGGGATGGATCCCTGGGAAGGAGCCACCTCAGGGAGCCCAGCTCTCAGGGCACAACCCGGCAGTGGAGAAATACTGCTGCTAGCTAACTTCCATCCCTCATGCTACCGATTCAATATAATTCCCCTCTGGTTTCAGAGATAGGGGAGCCAACTGGTCTTCTTAGACTTCGATATACTTAAAAGCCCTCACCAGTTGGCCACAGGCTGTCTCTTGTCTAGATCAAGCAGCTGAGGGCCTCTCCTTGCAGCCAGCAAGGGCTCCAACAGGTAGGGGGGATACCTGAGTTCCGGGTACACATTCTCCAGGTACCACTTGAAGCTGTGGCAGTGCAGATTCTTCTTCAGATCCAATCTGCTCTCAATGCTGGGGGTGACAGGGGTGGGGGCAGACACAAAGACAAAACAGCCATCAGAGGCAGGCGCCAGCAAAGTTGGCCCAGGCTGCGGAGCACAAAGTGCAGTCTGTGCCCACACTCTAAGCCCGCATCTCTCCAGAGGGTGCTGGGGAGACTAACCAAGGAGAGATTCCTATAACTCCAGAGCTATGAAGCACTGAGCAATATCTCACAATGGTGCAGTAATGACACTGAGGACTGGTGCTTTTTATTTGAAAATGGAATTTGGGGGTGTTTTTACTTTTCATTAAAAGCAAAGCTGCAAGAACATCCAGTGTGTTGTTCTTAATTCATCACCAGGGCTCTGGGTCTGCTTACTCACAGTCTCTCTGGATTCTGCGGTTGAAATCCCATGCCCCACTGCCCCAACCTCAAAGAATCCCTTTCTTTGGCTGCTTCTGGGGCCTGTTCATATATTTGTTCATCAGATATTCATTGAATACCTACTATGTGTCAGGCATCGTACCTAATGTGGGATAGAATGGAAAGCTTTTGAACAGGAGGAAAAAACAGGGAAATAAGCCCATGTGATGTAAGGCGGGCATGCAGGGCCGTGGGGACACCCCAAAGGGCCCCCTCGCTTGTCAGAGCAGGGCAGTCAAAGTGGTGATGGTGATTCTGGCACCTGGAAGGGAGGGTGGATGTTATCTAGACAACCCAGAAAGTGGATGAGGTAGCAGCGCTGGAGGAGAGCGGAGAGAGAGATTAGCACACGCCGAGAGTGAAAGCTATGTTGGCAGGAATGGTGCTGTAGGATCTTAAAATAGATGTGCGTATGTGAACGTATGTGGGGGGCTGCAAGGGGCCAGTGGGTGGGATGAGAGTGGAGACAGGCCACAAAGGGTCCTACGTGGTATTGCCAAGGAGTCTGGACTTTATTTCAAGGGCACTGGGATGCAATCCACGGGTTCTAAGCAGAGCATGACGTGATGATGTTCTCACTCTGAGAGCATCTCGCTGTTGGTACAGCAAGGTACAGGTCTGACAGGGTGGAGCTGGGGACAGGGGGGACAGTAGGTGGCAGGTATGGAAGCCAAGGTGCTGATCACACTTTCAAATAGAGAAGTGGGTGGGAGTGGAGGGAGCACAGGCTCAGTCTCTCCTTCTCTCCTCCTCTCCCTCTGCACTGCCTCCCCCCCCAGCTCCCTTCCACCCTGTCCTTCCTGGGCAGCCACACAGAACTGGCCCAGCTCATCTCCCTCCATTCCAGCCTCCTCCCTTGGCCCACGCTAAGACTGCACCAGAACTTCTCACACTGCACCAGCCACACCTCCTCGGCAGACCCTAAGTTCCCCAGGGACAGGAAGAATGTCAGTTTTTTTTAAATGCTGAATGTTCAGAGTTTAGCAAGGACCTAGGTGCTCTTGCATGAATGAGGCTGTCGCCAGGACTTGCTGATAGTTTAGATGGGGTGAGAGGGAGGGGGGGAGTCAAGGTTGACCTCCAGATGTCTGATGTGGGCAACAGGGTACAAGGAAGGCTGTTTATGGGGAATATGGGATGAGGAGTGTGTTCAGGAGCAAACCACATGAGTTGAGTTGAGGACTTGTTGAGCTGGAGGCCCTTGGGAGACATGGGAGAGGGTGCGCAGTTCCTACTTGGATACAGGGGACTGGAGCACAGAGGAAAGGCCTAGGTTAGAAACAGAGATGTGAGTACAGGCAGCAGAGATGTGGTGGTTAGCGTCAGGGAGAACATGTGGCAAGAAAAGACAGACCCTGAGGGAAGACCAGAATGTAAGGGGTAGGAAGAAGAAGCTGAGCCTGAAAATGGGACCGAGAAGGCAGAACCGGGCAGCAGAAGAGCCACAATGCAGAGCTGTGCCAGCCTCAGGACACAGGCACACCGTGGGGGAGGGGTGGGAGAAGACTCAGGCTGAGGGGGCAGCGTGGAGGACAGTGCGGGGCACAAGTCAGTCATAGGGAGCCAGGTGGGAGTAGTCGAAGGGCACAGGGGCTAGGAGCATTGAAAGGGCATGGAGACAGCTCACTGTCTCTCACTGCCTGAGACAGTGAGCCACAGGCAGTAGCTCCATGACAGTGGTTCATGGAGCCACTGCCTCCCAGAACTGGGTTCTGAACAAGCAGACAAGAGGAAGTGCAGTGATGGCACCGCTGGGCTGAAAGAGGGTTTTTGTACTTTGTTTTCTTTCCTTCTCCTCGCCTCTCTTTTGTTTGTTTGTTTTATTTAAGATGTAATTCCCTGAATAAGTTTAAATGCTGATGGAAACGATGCCTGGAGAGACTCAGTATAAGGGAGAGAGTGGAGGCATCTGGAGGGCAGGTTTGCCCAGGAGTGTGGGTCCCGCACTCGTCTGTATGTTAGAATCAACTTGGGGTCTTTAAAAGCTTCCACAGCCCTGGCTACACCCCAGCCCAAGTGAATCGATTCACAGGAGGAAGAGCCCAGCCTGCAGTGGGTCCAAAGCACAGACAAGTTTGAGAACCTCCCTGCTAGAACCTCGCTCCTTGAAATGTGGGCCTCAGACCAGCAGCGTCGCATCACGTGGGCGCGTATTAGGAATGCAGACCTCCTAAGTCAGGATTCACATTTTAACAAGATCCCCAGGAAATCTGTGTGCACATTAAAGTTAGATAGGCCCTGCACAGGAGGCAAGAGGAGAGGAGCGCAGGCAGTGGGAACTCGATAAATGTTGATTTATGGATGAATGCAGGAACGAATGGCGCACTGGGGTGCAGGCGGAGGGCTGGCCTACTGCAGCAGGAAGCACATCTCATCTTTGAGACAAGAGACAGAGAAGGATGGGGCAGATGCAGTGACGTTAATGTGTTGGTTTGCCTTGGAAAGTTGATGTCCTCTATTTCATCTGTAAAACAGGAGGTGTCATCTGCTGCCAGTGAAAGGCAGGGGGTGGACTCCAGGGCTGGGGACAGTGGAGAAGGTTTAATGATGATTGAGGGAGAACACTAGCTAGGAAGGCAGCAGGGCCGGTGGGTATCCAGGAGGTCTCAAGGGGGCGATGGCCAAGGAGTATTATTAGTAGCACCGGCTAATATTTCCCAGTGCTGTTCGGCAGCCTGTGTGCAGGGGAGGACAAGGGACAGTCAGGTCCATCCAGGTTGAGAAAACTTTGTGCAGGGGGAGGGTGGTGCTAGATGGACAACAGGGCAAAAGATCTGAGGACAAGACCTTCTGAGCTCTGTCTTCAAGCAAGAGTGTGCACTCCAGGCTGGAGAGAGAAGGGACTTGGGGGACCACGTGGGCATGGCCAATGGACCAGAAGTTCTGATGAGGTCTGATAGTGAATGCCTCGGAGGTTCACAGCGCCAGTATGGGAAGGACAGCATGGATTTATGATCACAGAGGTGCAAATCGTTTGGGCAGGCTCTGGTTTAACTCTCCCATGCAGTGATGGACTTGACCTATGACGTTTAGGCTGCAAAAATCTCATCTTCTCAACAGCCTTCGTATGACTAGTGAGTGACATTAGTATGACAAAAAGCCATTGGTTGCCCCCAGAGAAACGTAAATGATAACACAAATACATGAAGTCACTATTTTTCTCTACTCCAATCGGCTCTGGGTTGGGGAAAGCAAATGCATATAGTTTTAGAATCAGACAGATGCGGTTTGAGCCAGCATTCCCCTCTGGTATGGTGTGGTCTAGGGCAAGCACCTTAACCTGTAGAAGCCTCAGTCTGCTCATCTATAAATAGGTGTAATAAAGCCCGTTCCTCAGAGTTTGGGGAAGATTAATGAGATGCCTTCCATAAAGGTATCCAGTTCTTAATAAACATTCCTTGCCCTGCCTCTTCTCCTGTGAAGGCTGATCACTGCTGTGGGGCACATCTGTATGTGTACTGATCCTCCAAGGAAGGAGGGAACTGAGGCTTGGGTGGCTGAGTACTGGGAGGGAGGAACTCCGTCTGACCTGGAGGGACTCAGGCTGTCTAATCCGCATCCCACCTTTCTGCAAAAAGCTGGACATATCGGTCCACTGTACAAAGCACAGCTTAGCTTCCCTATGGATTTGGCAGTCCAAGTTGCAGATAGTCACTCTACAGGAGCTGCCTAAAGCCCTGCACACCCACAGTGGGGCTCCTCTGGACCGAAGGGACACTTACTTCCCAAAGGGCCTCTCCAGTGCAAAGGGCCGGGCAGCATAATAGTACTGCTTGTATTCATCCATCCACACTTCTGCCGTCCGCTTGGTGTTCCTGGGGAGACAAGGAGTGCCCATAAGGGGCTGGCTAAGAGGGGCTCTGGGTTCCAGTTAAAATACACATGCTTGGGCTGAGTCAGCAGCACCACCCAGGTGGGGGCCACCACGATCGACCCCCTAGCGTCATTGTTCCCAGGGCATTGCCCCAGCTAAGCCCTACACAGTCTCCTCAGGGGCCTCTACCCCAAGACACAGAATTGTAGTTCAGGTTGAGTATCCCTTATCCAAAACGCATGGAACCAGAAGTGTTTTGGATTTTGGGTTTCTTTGTTTTGGGATTTTATAATATTCACATACACATAATGAGATATCTTGGGAATGGGAGCCGAGTCTAAACATGAAATTCATTTATGTCTCATATACACCTTATACACATGGCCTGAAGGTAATTTTATTTTTCCCTGGGGATGCTGAATATACTGTGTGTTGTGTACCTGCATTTTGACTGCAACCCATCACATGGCGTCAGGTGTGGAATTTTACACTTGTGGTGTCATGTTGGTGCTCAAAAAGTTTCAGATTTTGGAGCATTTCAGATTTTGCATTAAGGATGTTCAACCTCTGGCCATCAACCTCTGGCTGATGATCCTGGGTTCTCCCCTTCATCACAGGGAAGTGCTGAGGTTCCAGCTCTCCAAGGGGACAGTTGGCACAACTATGTCTTCCCACAGGCCATGCACCTAGCCCGGAGCAGGTGTGAAGGACTAAGGAATCAAGCTTCCTCTTCCAGACATTCCGCCAGCACTCTAAGGTTATTTAATCAGGTGTTTGCTCTGAGTCATGGAAAAGGAGACAGAGAGAAACACTGAGGATGTCATCATTTAGCAGTCAGGGGTGTGGGGCTACCAGGAAGAGCCCCAGAGCAGAGAGAAATAACATCAGGAAATAGTCAGGTGACTAGTGTCCTGGTGTCTGTGGCATTTGCCAAGGTCCAAGTAAGTACCTTGGGGTCCAACTAAAAAAGGGCTGCTCTTCCAGGTGCACACTGTGCTTTGGAGCAGAGGCACCCAATACACGAGTGTGGGAAGCCCTTCCACGCCAGGACCTGAGCTGACAGGGATGCACACGCAGCCTGAGCTGTGGGCACTGGAGCCAGTCAGGGCCTCGCTGGCCCTTCCACTGGCCTATCCATCAGCAGAGTGGCAGCTGCTTAGCAGACATCTGTGCCTCATTGCTCTACCATCAGAGTGACATGCCAGTGGTGTGCAGGATGCCCATGGGCAGTCTGGAGCCCAGGCCCTGCCTCATTCCCAGCCTGGCCCCTCCAGGCAGCCACACGGCCCTGCACAGCCACACAGCTTCTCTGCACTGGACGCCCCAGCTTACTTTTCCTTTTAAATACAAGAGCTAAGACAGCTCTGCCTGTGTCCCCAAGGCCCCCACCTGCTGATTCCCTCATCGCCCTCCCGTGTTCACTAAAGGCGTGGCTCACACCCCCTGCCTGCCCTGGATGGCTGTCAGCTCGAGACACACATCTGTTCACATGTGTGGAGACCAGAGGGGGGAAGAACACAACGGGACAGTGACATCCTATAGAGGGGCACCAAAGGGGTGCATAGCTCCCCTCCCCCCAATGGACCAAGTGACAGAACAAAGAGAAGAGAGGACAGCAGAGGAGTGAAGGCATCAGATGACAAGAGGCAGAGGACGGGTAGGGAGGGAAGTGAGAGGAAAGACCGAAAAGGAGAGAGGGATGCACAGGGATTATTCTGAAGGGAGAGGAGGAAGATGGGAAGAGGAGGGATCAAGGAAAGGAGGAGGGCATATGAAGGCAGGAGCAGGGGACAGATGGTGGGCACCTTGGGGTCCTTGTAAGGAGGTACCATCCCCCAGATAGGAAGTGAGAACACCTGGGGACAAGGACCAGGGTTTTAGGCCCTGCCCCAGCCTGGACGGTTTCCGCATGATGGTGAGGTCCGGGAACAGGCTAGGCTGTACGCTCTGTGACTCCCTGGTCGCCTAGTGACCCAGCCTGAAGGTGGGGGCAGCAGATCTTCTAAAACTCAGGGGTAAAAAGAACTGCCCTTCCTCCACCCCACACAACCCCAAATACCAGGAGCCTGCACCCTTCAGGGTGGCACTGACAGCGACTTGAAGCCCCTGTAGCCACCCGCTGCCCAGGCAGAGTCCAGGGAACAAGAGTGCGGCCCCTGTCCAACCAGGGGACTCAGCAGCCTAACAGAGCACCAGGGGTGGCTGCAGCCCCTCAGCAGCAACCCTCAGCCACCGCCACATATGCCGCTGCCCACGCTCGCCGAGCCCCGGGCACTTACTTTATATACGTGTTGGCGTTTCCATCTGGGAAAACATACGGGTGCTTCTTCCGGAAGACGTGCCCCACCCTGCTGCAGGGGATGATCTCTAGGCTGCCCCCGCACATCCACACGCGGAAGGAGATTTCTGCAAGACAGTCGCGCCCCTGTTACCTCCTCTCACTGCTGCTCTGCTTGGAGGCCCCAGGTGCAGGGAGCCCCCTTCACCCAGCCTGGGCACAGTGGCTAAGAACAGACTCTGCAGCCAGACTGTGAGCGCCACTGGCTGGGCAACCTCAGTTTCCCCATCTGTGAACAAGGATGGTCCTAACACTCTGGAGAGGAATGTAAAGTAATATAGGGGCAGTGCCAGGCACGCCACCCCTGAACACATTCAGCACCAGGTGTAGTTGGGGTGGGGGCTCTGCTGGGACTTTAGCCTGGAGAGGAGGAGGCTTGGGGGCCACCAAGAGAGTTGCTTTTGAACATGTGAAAGCTTTCACGGTGGAAGATGGATTAGCCACACTCCCTGTGACCCCAGAGAGTTAGAATCAGGACAGAGGACAAAGCAATTTCACTTGAGAATACTATAGAATTTTCTGTCAGGGCCCAGATGACTGTCATGGGAGGACTTGGGACAGGCTAGAACACTACATGGCAAGGATGCAACGGAGAGGACTGAGACCCCAGAAGGCACCTGGACAAGGTGTCCGCCAGAGTTCATTCCACACCAAGACTGTGATTCTGCCACCGGGTGAGAGCCACTTGAACTGCAGCCCAGGAGGAGGAAGTCTGAGAGCAGAAACTGAGAGCTGAAAGCCACTGCAGAAAATGCTGGAGCCTCGCAGCTGTTACTTGAGGTGCCCCCCAGGTTCACACACACAGGTTTCTTCCTGGCTAGCTGCCGCTATGGGACCCCAGAGAGGGGGCGGCTGTGATGAGCGTGCTCCCCCCTGCGACTGCGCACAGGCTGGCTGCAAGCACGCCCGCCCCTGGGAGGAAGCAGCGGCATCCCAAGGGGGACAGGGGCCACTGGTTAGAATTGCCAGTGCGGGGTAACATTAAAAAGCAGAAAGACTGTTAGACAGTATTATTAGAGCTTTTAAATTCTCTACAGACAATGCGCCGCCTAGCTGATTGCACCCCCTGAGTATGTCACTTGTAGAAAAGACAGCTTCCGATCTGCAGGAATTCCTACGTGCCCTGAGTTCCCGCAGTCAAGTCCAGGCATGAGGAAGGCAGGCTGGCTCGTGAAAGGTCCATGCCCAGGGTGGCTGCCCCTGCGAGGGGCCGTGTGGATGCAGGCCAAGTGCTGAGGGGCAGGGATCGAGGATGCGGGTTTTCTAGAGCCTCCCCGTCATGTGTGCCCTGCACCCTCCAGCACCCTGGGCCCCACCTCCTTGGCTCTCTGGGTTTCTTTACCGTGGGTCCTCTCTCACCTCTGCTCCTCACTCCCTTCCACTCCCATGCTCTCTCCCCTCCTTCCAGCTCTCCAAGCAGAGGCTCAGGCTGGAATTCTTCGTCCTGATCTTCACTGGCTCTCACTCACCTGTCCCCAGCCGTCTAGCTGCCCCCCAACCCCCAAGGCTCCTTGGAAAGGCCATGGGCCTACAGGTGAGACTTCCTGCACACCATTCCTCCTCCCCACACCTGCCTACTGCTGCTGATTCCCAGGAAGCCTGCATTTCCCTCAGGTGTGGGGGCAGCTCGGCCTCTAGGAGGAAGGAAGGACTTTTCACCGTTGCAACTGAAGGATGGCGAGAACGTGGTAGGAAGCAAACAGGGAGAGCTTAGCTCTGGGGTCCCCCAGGCCCGAGTCTGCAGTAACCACCAGCTGGGAAAACTGCCTAACCTAGTGGAGGCCTGATTCCCCCAAAAGTCAAACAAAGATCATAAACACACTGTGCAGGGCTGCTGTCAGCATCGAATGAAATGGAATTTTGAGAATAGCGGTTTAAACTCTAAGTGTGATGGGAGAATCAGCGGCAGTGATTCTGAGACGCCTCTGAAGCCGGCGTCTCCAACACGGGCGCTGATGCACGGCACCCACCTGTGCCCGACGCTAACTTCTTAGGTGACTTAACAGCCTCTCCCCATCTTCTGCCACGCTGCAGGAGACGCTTGAAACTTGTGGAAGTCACGTTGGAGACTTTGACTCTCCATGAAGTTCCACGCTACGGAGCTGGCACTGGCTGGGCACCGTTTGAATGGCGTGCGCCCGGCCTGGTGCGTGCGTGCCCGGCACCCACGCTCCGTCTTGCACTGAGCACGCCGGGGGACACAGGGGCTGGTGGCGGAGCGTGTCAGCACGTGTGAATCTGAGTCCCAGGACGTCTTCCTGAACATGTCTACGCTCCAGTCAGTTCCTCTCCAGGGAGCCAAAACAGGGTCTGCTCCAGTTCCCAAAAAGGAAAACCCTCCAATCCCGCATCACTAGAGACGGCGTCCTCGCTTACTAGATATAACCCGCACGTTCTGTGCCAGCTCTCTCCCAAGGAGACGCGTGTTTCGGTGACAGTCTCTTCCCTTCCACGTATTCAAATGAGACATATGTCCCTGTGCATTTGCAAAGCGGATCCCTCCACCCTACGCCTGGCCCACGTTGTCCCCACCCCCACCCCCACTCACCACTTCTCCCCTTCAGCTCCCTTAGCCCAGAACTTTCTCTCTGAAGCTTTTCCTGCCCCAGTCGTGCACAGAGCCCCACCATGGACAGCTCCGTCCCCGGCCTGGTCCTTCTCCACCTTCCTTCCCATCTCCCCACATTCTTCTCCTACGTCCCCCAGTCTCTGCCTTCAAGTGTCTTCCTGATACCGCTTCCTCGTCTGCTCCCAGAGAGCACTGGATGCTGAGAACTCACCAGCCCCGACTTCCAGTGACCGGCGAGGCTTCCATTGAGGTCCAGGGGACACCACCCCGCCCAAGACGTCTCCTATCCCTTAGTACCTCCCCACAGCCCACTGCAGCCCTCCCTCCTCTCTGCCTCCCCTAGAGCCAGCCCAACCTTCCTCCTCCTCGTTTTCCTGGTTTATTGCCCTGGTGCAAAAATTCAGGGTATCACAATTCTGCAAACATCAGCCGTGGGAGGAAAGTGGGCCCTTCATTTCCTTCTGGGCCAGACCTTATTAGGTTCCTCCTCAGGAGGTAGCTCCGTAGTCGTCCTAACAAACCCTGCTCAGTGGTTGTCGATGTTCTTATGTTGTGACGCAGTCGCAGCTCTGATAGGGCAGCTGACAATGAGCAGCTGGGAATCTCCCCAACTCCAGAATTCACGCTCTTTCCCTGACTCCACCCTGCCACTGGCCCACACAGCTGTGGATACAAGCAAGGATCCTGACTTCGAGGCACTCACAGAGTGACAAATACATAACTAGCCATCACATTCCCCCGTTATCAACTCACTGGTCCAACGCTGAAAAATGTCTGTCTCACTTTGTCCTTCAGCTGCTGCTACCCAGAGGAACCTGCAGCCGAGGTGAGTTAAGAGTTTCTCTGCTCCAGAGTCTAGATTGTCACACCTGAAATTATTGGAGGCACGTGGCCTGACGTGGCTCACTATGCGGCTGCCAGAGTCGAGAGGCAGACGAGGATGCTGCTTGGAGTTTTCAGATTAGTGTAATGATTTATAGGTTCTACAGTGCAGCGTATTTAACACCCAGGACACATGGCTGCCCTTCCCTGATCTACACCACTGCCTTTGGGACAGTGACCTGCACTCTCTCAGGACTCCGAGCCAGGCCTGGTAGCCCACAGATACGTGCGGAAGTCTTTGGGAAAGTCCTGGAATCCCGAGGTCCCAGGAAGCAGGCCTTGTGCAGGCGCTCTTGGAAGTGCCAAGACGGAGGTGGCCTGGCGCAGGGCCCCTCCAGGTGCAGCTAGAGCCTCTGCTCCCCAGAGCCGCAGCTCCTGCAGAGTCTCTATTTCTTTTTTTTTTTTATTTTTTTTTATTTTTTTTTTTGAGACAGAGTCTCACTTTGTTGTCCAGGCTAGAGTGAGTGCCGTGGCGTCAGCCTAGCTCACAGCAACCTCAAACTCCTGGGCTTGAGTGATCCTTCTGCCTCAGCCTCCCGAGTAGCTGGGACTACAGGCATGCGCCACCATGCCCGGCTAATTTTTTTATATATATATCAGTTGGCCAATTAATTTCTTTCTATTTATAGTAGAGACGGGGTCTCGCTCTTGCTCAGGCTGGTTTTGAACTCCTGACCTTGAGCAATCCGCCCGCCTCTGCCTCCTAGAGAGCTAGGATTACAGGCGTGAGCCACAGCGCCCGGCCAGAGTCTCTATTTCTTAAGTGAAAGAGGAGGGAGCAGCAAGGCTTTGCCTACGGAGTTCCTAGGGGGCTCGCTGAGTCAGTGCCCGCATAATCCCCTAGGCAATGACTGTTGCCTCGCACAGACCCAAACCCACTTTGAATTCCAGGCAGGAGATGTGTAACTATTGCATCCTCGCTGGGGGTTCTGTTATCATCTCATGTTCTTTAAACGTCAGGTTAATATGTGAGAGCACACTGCCCTTCCCCAACCCCCATTCCCACTTCTTTCATTCTACCTACCTCCTCATCAACTCATCAGGAGTTCTCACCAGCCCTCCCGGGGCCCTGACCCTTCACCAGAATCAACATTTACCTGGCAAGCCCATGGACGGTGGATACGAATTTGGGGAGAAGGAACAGCTTTCTCCCCAGGAAGCAAACCACAGCTACCACCGTTTGCCCATGTTGGCAAAGGTTCTAATTTTATTGTATAGCCCAGTTTCTAAACAAAGGCAGGGAGAGCCATCCCATGTGTGTACCTCTGAATATGATGGACTCTATTTTAAATCGAGCCTCATGCAATGTATATGTATGTATATTGTGTACACAGTAACATTCTCCATGCTAACTTTGGCCAAGTTTAAACCTATTTGGGCACAAAGGGATTGGAGATCCCTTTGGTGGTAGATGGTGGTGGGCAGAGAGAGACACTCACCTGGCTATTATCATGCATAAGTGCACACATTTATGTGTGACAGGACCTTGCCTTTGGGTCATCTTCACATTCCCAGGGGCTACTGGGCCAGGAAGCAAACTCTGTTATTATTCTTTAATGAACACATAGACTTGAGTAGGTATAATATTACTGGCCCACAAAACAGCTTTGAATCTGC